ACCAGCTCTGTACTAGGAACTTTTCTAGAACCTCTAGAGACAATTTAATCGAGAAAATTTGTATATTATTCATTTTATGAAGAGAATTCTCTTCAGAAGAACACTAACAGACTACATTCAGTCAGTCAGCTTCTCCAGATCAACTGCAGGAGAGGAGATCCTTCCTGCCAACATCTATCGACACATATAGAGAGTTACCACAATATTCACTTTCCCTTTGGAACCAATAAAGTGTTTGTGCATTGAATAAAATTAGTTGAGCCGTGGGTAACCGATCAAAGGAGACGAGTCATCTGGCAGTGGAACATACGTAAAATTTTTTCATTTAATTTAGCTTATTTGTACAGCTTTGATTCACAACAAATGTTGCATTAAAGGAACTTTTGCATATAGGTATCCAATTTTCATAGATGTTTCACATAAAAAAAAAGTTTTCTTTTCTAATAAAACCCACCCAATTGCACTCACACACTGCAGACATCCCTCCACCTGAATGTCCATGTATGAACGGTGGACAGTTCTTTTAAATAGTGTTGTTGACTTTGCAGCAATCCCTCATACTGAACATATGTAGAGGATAGTGGAAAGGAAAACTCCCCCAGTGTTAGCAGTCATCTGCAACCACAAACCGGGGATTTGAGAAGAAAGGACAGACATAAAAAACAAACGTAGCAGTAATACTTTCTATATTAAATTAAGGAGTTAATACAGGCTGTAGATCTTTTAAGGGCTCCATGCAATAGATAATCACTGCTAAAGTTAGTGCATAACTGTGTAGGCTGCAGCATTCGTTCCTTTAGTTGCTTTTTCAAAGAGATAAAGTGTTTAAGTTGCGGCATAACAATAAAATATGAAGTTTTTAACAGCGGTTGCTTATCTTCGTCAGGGAAATGTAACAGCTAAAAGAACCCCAGGCCAGGTTAAGCCTCTAAGAAGACAAAACAAACACATAGCATGTAAAATAAATGGCTGTAAAAAAAACTGCAGGTATCTCTAATTGGAGAGCAGTTGGAGAAGGTAGCAGAAGGTAAAGAGGTGATTATGTCCTCCAGCAGCTTAAGCCTGTAGCAGCATTACTACAGAGATAACTCAGGATAATTTGGGCCACTCTAACTACATCCTTCGCAAAAACAAATATTTCAGTAGACAGAAAGTGTCTTCAGAAAGAAACGCAATAATGAAAAGGTCTCCCTCCCAAAGCACTTTTGGAAAATATAGAAGCCACCAGTGAACCTGCAGTTTGAGAACATGTGGTCTTTTGGGAACATATGGGACAACCAGTTCTTTGTGCTGGATTGAAAATGATCAACTTGCTTTCTAGAATAATTATTTAGAAGTGCCAGTGGATGAAAAAAATATAATAGCACTCAGCGCAGCAATCTGTTGTTAGCCTCTTTGACTCCACCATCTCCTGAGATGTTAAACCTCTCTTAGATGAAATGTTAGCGTCTCATGTTTTCCTTGTAAGACAAGTCGGCATCTGGATAGTTTGTGGTCTACAATGGTCTACAAAGTTTGCAAACAAAAGCCCCAAAGACTTTAGCTCTAAATAAAATAACTTTACAGGATTTAAAAAAAACCCTGAAAACTATAAATGTGTCACTTGTAATTTATTGACGGGGCTCTGTTGTTTATTTTCTAAGGATTTTCCCTCCATGTTGGAAAGTAGCCATGATTTTACACTGAAAGTGAGGATGGCGCTAAAGTTAAACTGCATGCTTGGTGTTAATTATCACTCTGAATTGTTCTAACTTTTTAAAACATTTTGATAACCAGAAATAAATAAAGGTTGTTCCATCAATTTAGCTTTAAAATATTCAGCCTATGGGGTCAGCAAAGCCAGTTCCCAGATCTAAAAAACTGTTTAACCACCGTTACCACACATGCTCGCTCATCATAACTACAGTTATGACCTAAATATTTTCTTAGAAGCTCCATACCATGACATATGCAGCTTCTGGGAGTTTATGTGTGGCCAATCGAAAGTACAGATAAACAGATTACATCTTTGGAGTTGTTTGTTCATGTTCTGTTTAGCAAATAGTTTTTGTTTCCTTTCTTTGGGTCATACAGAGTCATGCATGTTTACAATCATCAGGAACATAAATATATACAGCACTTTCATGCTGTGCACATATAGGTGCTCTTTCATGTTTTCCTACTTAAAAAAAGAACCAGAAAACTAGGATAGTGGTTAAAAACAGTCTCTTGCTTACTCAGTACCCATAAGTTCAGCTTAGGTATAATATAAGTTGGGAAATGTCAACCCTGAGGATCCTTCTGATACCAAAAGCTACTAAGCAGGGACTCACAAAGGGTATCCTGTAACTAGGTACCCTGTAGGTAACCCAAGTTTTGGTTCTAGACAGGTTTACTGGGCCAGTATTTTATTCTTCAATCATCATTAATGATAATAAACTTAAAGACTCAAGTAACTAATGAGTTAGAGTTTCTGTACCTGAGCGTATCATAATAAGAAATTATTAAACGGGCCATAAGTGGGGGCCAAGGCCAGCTCTACGCTGTAAAACCCAACATTCAGTTTAATTAAAAAGCATAAGTTATCAACTCAGTTCTCATCAACTTGCTGTTTACACTAGTTTTAGAAAGTGCTGGAACCTGTTAGATAAAATAAATCTTGACTATTTAAAATAGTGAGCTTGAATATACACATAAAATTGGAGTATTTGAAAGAGGCGGAGCCTTGTGCCGGTCAGTGTAACCTCATTGGCTGATTTGTTGACAGTGAGTATGGCCAGACAACACCCTGAGAAAAGTTACTGCAACAATTAATCGGTTAATGAGCTTGAAGACTCAAATGTCAACCCTTCACATAAATACAGAATACTTTCTCCTGTGAATAGATCTCACTGAACTGAAAATCAGAAATTGTGTGATCAATGGAAATATTAAAGGATATATGTAAGCGGATGAGCTCTAATGTTAGATCCTAAAAATGAGCTTATAATCGCTATTGAGTTAAGTCTACTCAAATTATTAATTTAGTTGAGGTTTGTGAAACAGAATCAGAATCAGAATTACAAATCACTTGTTACACACTCCAGATATACAAAGAGTATATATATATATATATATATATATATATATATACAACAAACCACACAACATAATATAAATATATAGACATATAACTCTCTCTATATATATGTATATATATGCATATGTATAACTATAAATCCAAATAAATGATAGTGACATTTTGAACAAAGGTTTATAACTTGCACATATTAATATTTATCAAGCCCACAGTTTTCATTAGGCAATGAGTTTGGGAACTTCCATCCATCCATTATTGTAACCGCTTATTCCCTAATGTGGTCTGGGGGGAGTGGAGCCTATCCCAGTAGTGAATGGGTGAGAGGTGGGGTACATCTTGGTCGGTCCGCCAGTCCATTGCAGGGCCACAAAGAGACACTCAAAGATGAACAACCATGCACACTGACACTCAGTCTTATAGGAAATTTGAAATGTCAATTCAACCTAACATGCAGGTTCTTGGACAGTAGAAGGAGAGTTTGCAAACTCATTGCATTTTACATATTACAGGCTCTGTCTAGGAACACCCATAGGTACCCCGTATACCCCATAGTGCACTGTAAAGACCAGACAAGTAGTTTTGGCCCTTAAGTAGGTATTCAGTGATTATCCCATAGATACCTTGAAGAGACAACAAATAATCTCTGTACCTTTATTTATAAAGCATCTTCTTATGCAGACTGCTGCATAAAATAAAAATAGATTAAGGACACAAAGGACTTAAAGAAAGTTGAATTAAATCTATGTGGAAAAGATGAGTTTTTACCTTATTACAAAATAACCCCACAGTAGGAACTCTGTAAGTATGAGGTAACAAACTGAACTGTACCCATGTCTAGTTCACATGTAAAACCCTATCAGTAAACCATGGAAGTAAGTCTATTGGCACCCAGGTATCCTGCAGTCAACCTAAATGCTTGCTTACACTTATTCCCATAAAATAGCTTGTATCCCCCCTGTAAATAACTCAATTTTTACCCTATTTGTACACTGTCAGTTAAGTAAAATCTCCAAATATTAATGTTTCTGAATAAGATTTTTATTCACACACCGCTTTCTAAATTACAAATTTTCCTCCAAACACTAATGTGTAGGATGCTGTTGGCAGGTCAATGAGTCCAAGCATACGCCCACCAACTCCATCTAAAAGGGCATCATGCTTTGTTCTGCAGCTATGTGCTTGTAGCTGTTACTTGCGTGCTGGTCTCCCTGTGTTCTTTCCCCTTTTTTCTCCTTTAAATGATTTGCAAAACAGCCAGTGGTTGTGGCTCTCATTTACAGAGCCACCAAAACGTGGAGAAATGTTGAAACAAGTACAAGGAAAATTTTTATAGAAATTTTTTTTTTTTAGGCATAACTCTATGTAATGAAAATGTTATCTGGCTTCTACTAAAATTATGAAGCATATGGAAAGAGGTTAACACATTTCTTTTTGACTGCACATCATCCACATTAATGTGAATGTTCTGTCATCTCAAACAAAGTGTGTTTTCTGGAGAGACTGTGTTTATTATTTACTTTTTTATGTTCATTCTTTATTATTTTAAATTTTTAATTCTTCCAATAGTGTCAAATGTGACAATTCAATCAGTCATGATTCTGGGGGGAATCTGCAGTACCCAAATACTGGTAAATATGGCAAAATCTGCATACTTCATTCAGAAATACCCCGAGACTAGCGCTCAAATAAAGCCTACATTAAATAAACCCTTCTTCTAAGTATACCCACATTTATCCTTAAAGATCAGCAGTATGTACTACTGGGGTTTTCCTGTAAGTACAAAACCGATTTATTTGGCTGCATCTTAAAAGATAATATAAAATAATATATAATAAGTGAATAAAATAAACTAATGCAACGCACTATGAGACCAAGGTTCTTTGTGAAGCATGAAACCACAGAAAAAAACAAATTCAACTCTCTTAATTTTTCCACAGGCAGGATGACAAACCAGCCGACAGCCAACCAGTCCAACACAAAAAAGGAGAAGGACAAAGAAGAAACCTCTCGAGATGACAATACTGAGCTTGCATATAAGGATGCCGGCCACTGCAGCCGTAATACTCACAACCTGCTCCTGGGACTCACTGTTCTTGGTAGGCTTGGACATTTAGGCTCAGGCTGTTCCCTAAGGTTATATGTGTGTCACTGTGCAAGAACCAAGTCTCCCCTTAATGGCAAGATTATCATTTTCTCCTGTTAATCTCATTTTGCAGCAAACGTTGCTTAACTTGAATCAAGATTTACACACTCCCTGATCATTTTCCCACAAAACTTTGTCGGCTTGTTGTTGTCTTTACTCTCCTTTTGTAAACACTTTGGTGTGTTTCGCCACAGCTGCATTCTTGTACAAACAAAGTCCGTGCAAAGTCGAGAAGTGTGTTATTTTTTTGTCTGTAATTTGTCACCAAGATTTAAACTCAGATATGAAGTTGTTTACATTACGGTAGATGGCTCTCATTAGTCAGCGAACCCTTACATCTCAGATGTGAAACAACTGGCCAATGAGTCCACTCAAGGGCTGTAAACTACATGGAAAATCTGGATTCTTTTTTTCGTCTGCTGCTAAACAGGTGTGGAAGCTGTGTTTATTCCTAAATTTTGACTTATGAGGAGGGATCCCACTCTTACTTAAACTATAATTTCCTTTCTGTTGAAAACTAATTAACGACTTTCAACTCTAACTGCCTTAACCAGTTATTCATAAGAATTTATATTATCGAAAATGATTTTTCTTTATTAAAATTACTCCCCGTATTTAAATTTTTTCATTAATCGAAACTGTTTGGGAAATACCTGGTGTTTGCTATCACCTCTTCCTCAGGTGTCGTCATGGGAGCAGTGTTTGGGATGCTGTTGCGCTACATGATGGTTAAAGATGCTGCTGCTCTCACCATGATTTCCTTTCCTGGAGAAATCCTCATGAGGATGCTAAAGATGCTCATCTTGCCTCTAATCATCTCCAGCCTTATTACTGGTAAGAAAGGTTTACAAAAGCAATACAAATTGTAGTAAGAAAACTTGATTTCTGCTGTAAAAGAGAAATCTTTCATTGTTTAAAGATAAGATTTAGTTCATGAAAGGTGGCCCTGCTACAATAAAGGATTCCCTAAAAGCCTCCATCCCAAAGACAGCTACTCTACTGACTCCCTCCGTCATATATATATATATATATATATATAGGCAGTCAGCTAAAGCAATCAGTTCTCTAAAACCCCAATACTGTACACTTTTATTCCCAAAACAAATGGGCAAGGACACACCAAAAGATAAGTGTCCTTCAACATGCATGCCACCCAAGTGGCCATGAGGCATTGAGATCAGTTCCACACCCCGCTTTATACTCTGCTCATTAGGAGACAGAGTGAAACCAGCTGTGCCTCCTTTAGCTGCAGGAGCTCAGCATCACACCAATATGAAGAAACCTACATGCAGGCACTACTGCATATAATAAGGCCCCTTGCGGCGATTTGGCTCTTCTTTAGGGAGGCTGAACAAAGTCCAAGACCTCTAGCTGCCGAAGAACAAATTTCTGCAACTTAGACACAAGCTAAAAGAAGTGCTGCCACTGACTGTAAAAGAGCCATTTCATCTCAAGTCTGAGCAGAAACGATTGCCGCCAGCTCTACATCATCACTCGTTGATTGGTGAAGGAATGGTATCGTACCCTTATGTTGTGCTTCAGGTCTCGCTGGTCTTGACGCTCGCTCCAGTGGAAGGATGGGAAGCAGAGCCATGGTGTACTACATGTCCACCACTGTAATAGCTGCAGTCTTGGGAGTGATCCTGGTTCTGGGAATTCACCCAGGGAACCCCAAACTGAGGGGCAGCACGTCATCCACAGGAACAAAAAACCAGGAGGTCAGCAGCCTGGACGCCTTTCTGGACCTGATCAGAAACCTCTTTCCTGAGAACCTGGTGCAGGCCTGCTTCCAACAGGTACTTACCATGTGTTGTTGTTAATTAACAGTTACTGTTAATTTGATTTCTTATATACATTTCATGCCATAAGTTAGCATACCTGTTAGCCAGTCATATTACCTTTGCATTCCAGTTTATTGTGTCCCTACCTTTGTGTTTGTTCATTTGAATTCCTTTCCTTCGCAAACCTGTCATACAGACACCAAAGCTACTGTTGGTCCTCTTTAGATGTTTTTGGCTATTTGAAGCATGCCTGTGCATCAGTTTAAAAGAAGAATCAAATTTTTCTTTGAAAGACCTCCTGGTATTTCTAGGGAATGGTTCATTCACATTACGAGAGGTTTTTCCTAAAAATAAAATACCTGAAAGTCTTTATGTTTTCGTTTGCACTAAGTAGGTATGCTTTAAATTTCAGAAAAAAAATATTCATCATGACAGCCTGTTTTCTATGATCATATATCAACCACAACTTAATCAACACCTGAGGCTATCTTTATTAAAGCAGGCGTTCAGACAGTTTAGTAAGAAGATTTTCAAACTTTACAAAGCCTGTTATTCTACATAAAGATTGCTCACAAGAACAAAAAGCTCATGGAATAGGTCTTTCCTCACATTCTCCCCAAATTCAGGCTATGAAGCCTTCTTGACCCTTGTGTCAGATTCTGAAAATCTCAGTTAGAATGTTAGATATAAATTTTAACGCCTGACATGCAGAAAAAGGAATAAATGTGGCTTTTGTTCAAAAAATAGACATGGAAAGACTAAGAATATGGCAGCATTGTTCAAATAGCAACTTCTGAATTATACGTTTTCTGGAACTTTGTTCTTTGGAGAGATTAGCTTCAATTAAATACCTTTGGCAATGATTCACAGCACAGTGTTCGGAATAAACAACACACTCCGAAAAGCGTCCATAAAACATGGTGGTGGAGAGGTGATTACTTGATTTTGTTTCGCATTCATACTGACCCAACAGCATGAAGCCGTTGAGTAGACCCTGAACTATTGAAGAATCAAATGTGGCCATGGTGGAGTTTACCGGGAATAAATTGAGTCTTATATAGAACACTGGTCCCAAACATGTCAGCAGAACTGGAAAAGCATAACAAAAACGGGGGAAAAAACAAAATCCACACCTGAAACTGATTTAAAGCTGCGGCGTGACCCTAAGAGAACTGTGCAGAAGTGAAAGTCTGCAAACCTAATTGAAGTGAAGCATAGGTTATTCTCTTCAAAAAAAAAAACTTCTCTGTGTCAACAATGAGAGTTTTCTTTATTAAATTCTCTCTGTTAAATTGGCAAAGTGACATATTTTTATTTGCCACATTTGCACTTACCTTAGTGAGGAATCTGCTGGTGAATGCTGACAGATCTGACCTTGTAGACCCCTTTATTCCTGTCTTTTCCCATGGTAATCCATCCGTTCTTTTCCTTTCTCCCCCTATACCGCTCCTTAAATTTCTGTTTTACTGGTCCTTTTGTTTGTAAGCATCAGGGATTCATTAGTCATAAAAAGCCTGAATGTTAAAGTGGAAAGAAATCTTCCTTCCCCTTTCAGCCTTTTCGACTCTTTTATGTCTCTTTGTTGTCTTTTATGTTAGAAGCTCTTGTTCTCCATTAGCCTTCTCTTTAAACACATCCGAAAGTTAAGTCTCCAGCTGCTGAGATGGTTGTCCAAGCCACTGATCAGCCTGGGATCTTCTTGTAGGTGCAGACGGTGTTGAAACAGGTGGCGGTGGCAGCACCAAACCAAACTGAGCCCATAGTAGTAAACAGGAAAAAACTGGAATACAAATGGGGCATGAATGTTCTTGGTGAGTTCATAGCTCATGTATGCAACAGGTTTGGCCTGCAAGCATCTGTTTGTGTTTATTTTTGCTGTAAACTAACTCCACTGTTTGTTCTTCGAGGCTTGATTGGCTTCTTCATCACCTTCGGGATCTGTATGGGCAGGATGGGCGAGCGTGGGAGAATCATGTGCGACTTCTTCAACATCCTCAATGAAATCATCATGACGATGGTTTCCATGATCATGTGGTCAGTATCTGTTTGCAGGCATGCATCTCTGTTTTTGCTCTGTGCCATCGACGGTTGCATTGCTGTGACGTCGAGGAGATACCGCACACAAGGTCAGCGACAGTGACTAATGTTTACATGAGACAAACTGTGGGAACAAGCAGAGCGGCTGGACGCTGAAGACCAAGAAGGAAAGGAAGCAGGAGGAAAAGGGAGAGAGTGTATTAGTGAAGGACATGGACAGATGGAAGGGGTTAGGGTCTTCCGGGGACGTCCTGGAGTCTGTGGTATGCTAGGGAGTAGCAGGAGCGATGTAGTGGGCTCCCAGGGGAGTTGGGGTGGAGAATCTCCAAAATGAAATTGATCCACAAATGGGCAAAGGAGCAGCTTGACAGCAGACAATATAAGAAGCAGAGGAGTTGTGGAGAGATGCATGAGAAAGCATGACTTCAGAGCAGAGAGCATGAATTGAGGCTTTGCAGGACACCACAGAAATAGACAGTGGAGTGACACTAAAATTATGGATGGGAAGGGAGAGGGGGAGCTGTGAGTAGGGGTAGATTGTTGGAGAATCACCAGGAAGTCTGTCTCATAGCTTTCCTGTGCAGTTTATATGTGCAGCTCGACTCCAGAGGAGTTGTGTCCTGTTCGCCTCACTCACTCAGTGTAAACATATTAGTCAGGGCCAAACACAGACTCCAGTGTATACGGAAAAAATGCATCATACAAGGAGCACATCCATCTCGTCATATACTCCAACAAACAACTGTCCGGCGGATGCCTCGGATTTCAGCACTCTGGGCAGCTGACCTGGAGGAACAGGCCGCTGCTGTGATTGGATCTGCAAGGGGGGCGGGGCTTGGTTTAAATCGGATCTCCCAAAAGAGCAGTCTGAATTTATGAATGGGAACAACTGTGCTGAAAAGCATGAAACCAAAGATCCAAGTATGTCTCCAGTCATCAGGGGAAGTAAAAGCACCACTGAGGGATAAATCAGGGGGTCTGTACCTGCACATTACAGTTTTATGGGTAAAAACAAATTAAAAAAACTGGACTATTGCGCAGAATTTGACTTTTAGCTATCAGGATGGATGGATGGATGGATGGATGGATGGATGGATGGATGGATGGATGGATGGATGGATGGATGGATGGATGGATGGATGGATGGATGTTTTTTCTTCATGTTGTACCATGTGTCCTCTGTTTTCTTTATCACCATATAATCCAGATTTACAGTGCCTTGCAAAACTTTTTGGCCCCTTTGAACTTTTTGAACTTTTGGTGAATTTCAGACTTAAAACATTAAAATATAAAATTGTAAAATTTTTGAGAACAATCAACAACAAATGAGACACAATCATGAAGTGCAACAAAATGTATTGGATGTTTTAAACTCTTTTAACAAATAAAAAGATAAGGGAGTGGGACATGCAAAAATAATTGGCCCCTTTACTTTCCGTGCAGCAAACTCCCTCCCTCCATTATGACACTGAATGATCTAATGTTGGCCTAAATGACTGATGATGATAAATAGAATCCACCTGTGTGTAATCTAGTATCCGTAAGAATGCACCTGCTCTGTGATCATCTCAGAGGTCTGTTTAAAGAGCAGAGATCATCATGAAGAACAAGGAACACACCAGGCAGGTCCAAGATACAGACGTGGAGAAGTTTAAAGCTGGATTTGGATACAAAAAGATTTCCCAAGCTTTAAATATCCCAAGGAGCACTGTGCAAGCAATGATATTAAAAGGGATTTTTATTTCTTTTTTTTTTCTATTTTTCCTTTCCTGTTCTACATACATTGCAGTGTCCATATAATCTGTAAAACTGCATAATTATAATAAAGCAATTTATATGCATAAATCAAGCGGAACACTATGGCGATAGCCATGCCGCTCCACTAATGAAAGTAAAATCTGAAGGGCTCTTTTTGGCATCAGGACAGTTATTTTTATTGCCACATCGCCAGACAGGACACCATTAAAAAAAGAAAAAAAAGAAAGAACGAAATGGAAAGAGTATCAGACCGCTGCAAATCTAAGAAGACCCACCGTCCCTCTAAACCTTAAGCTTAAACAGGAGAAGCCTGATCAGAGATGCAGCCAAGAGACCCATGATCACTCTGGATGAGCTGCAGAGACTCTGTCCATCGGACAATAATCAGTTATGTACTGCACAAATCTGGCCTTTATAGAAGAAAGTGATTTCTTAAAGATACAAATAAAAAGTCTTGTTTAAAGTTTGCAACAAGCCACCTGGGAAACACAGCAAACATGTGGAAGAAATTGAACTTTTTGGCAACAGTGCAAGACATAAATTCAAAGGTGCATGACCTAGCACTGAGGCTGCGAGCCAGGTCCGCGCTCAGGGCCAGGGATGGCATGATTGCGTCACTTTTGGCATGCATCCCTCGCTCCCTGTTCAGCGCAGCAAGTATAAAATGTCATGCATAAAAGCAACACAGCTCATAGCCCTAAACACACCATCCCCACTGTCAAACATGGTGTAGGCAGCATCATGGTTTGTGCCTGCTTTTCTTCAGAAGGGACAGGAAAGATGGTTTAAATTGATGGAAAGACGGGTGGAGCCAAATACAGGTAGCCTGGGTGCCATTCCGAACTTAGTCCCGCCCACAAAGTTTGAGG